CTACACTACCAGTTAATTTATATCTTTGTGTTTACAAATTAGAGTGCTCTTGTGGCAAATGTTATGTTGTTAAAACAGGACTAAAGATATTGTCTTAAATATGCCAGCATCAAACAAGTGCACAATAAGGTAAAGGATAAAATTCAGCTGTAGCTGAATATTTTAAAGTTTGCCTAGGAAATTTTCCCTGTAATGGTTGCATTACCGTAAAAATAGAAAAAAAAAAAGTTTTAACAGGAAACTATGGGAAACATTAGAAATACAACACAATCAAATTACCTTTCGTGACAATGGTCTTAACCGGGATGTGACGATGTCATTTTGGAAACCCATGTTCAAATACTTGTCACAAAAAACTCTCTTAAAAAAAACTTAAAAAGAAGCTCTTACAAAGAACATTTAATCATTTAAAAAAATAATAGCGCAAAAATGTTTTGTAAATGTAAACGGTTTTGTATAATATAGTAGTTTTATTTTTTTTATAAAGGTTTTTTAATATACTCAATAATGAGGGTATCAATATTTTCTCAAAGTAGTAAATATTTTTTTATCAAGTAAGATTAAATTCATAAAAAAAAAATTATTTTAAAATATAACTCATCATATTTTTGTAATTTTTTAAAATGGTTTGAAGAGTATGATACATTATACATTAATGTAATGTATAAAAGTTTGATGTTACATCAAACTTTTACACATTTTGTTTAAAAGTTTGATGTAACATTCGTTAAATAATTCGTGCTCTAATACAACATAGTAACAATTGAAAAAAAAATGCCTTTAGTGTTGTTGATATATGTACTTCAACAAAGCAGGTTGGAACTCTCAATATAAATAAGAATCACTGAATATTCAGTAGCCAAATATTTGGTGCTTTAGTCGAGTGTCTAGCTGAATATTCAGTATTTAGTAAAAATCACTATTTGGGGCACCTCTAATTAAAAAATATATTTTAAAATATGTTATTAAAGTTTTTTTGTTTTGTTTTAAAATAACTATAGGTTGTTTAAATTAGTTTTATATGTTTATAAACTCCTGTCTTTAATTTTATATAAATACCTGCAATCTAGTGTTCTGAATATTTTATATAAATACCTGCAATCTAGTATTCTGAACATTTTATATAAATACCTGCAATCTAGTGTTCTGAATATTTTATATAAATACCTGCAATCTAGTGTTCTGAATATTTTATATAAATACCTGCAATCTAGTGTTCTGAACTATAGAGGCATTATTTGCTTATATTATATGGGTATGAGATCCACTGTTATTTGCTTACATATCACCTGAAAATAAGTAAAAACACCATGTAAAGAATAAAAGCTACATTTGTATACTAAAAAAGAATGTGAAAATGCAAAATCCTTATATAAAGTCCTTTTTACTGTCAAATTTTGGATAATTAAGTTTCGAGTTTGAAGCGGAAACAAACATTACATGTTATCTAGAGTATCCAAGATTGTCCTACATGGAATGTTGGACAATCTTGGATACTCTAGATACTTCTTTGAGCAGATGCTCAATACTTTGAGAATGGCATGGAATATCAGGAACATGAAAAGTGCCATTTGTAACATTGATTAAGAGGTCTTCATTGTTCACTTCAAATAAAATCGAAGAGTAGAAATATTAACACTTGACCAGTCGATCATTTCTAAATATGAGGAAACATGGAAATTGAGAGAAATCTTTTGTAGAGGAAAAACACGTACTCCATCAGTATTCTCTTCTCTTCTACATACAACAATTTTCTTTGCTGCATCAACTGTTTTTTTCTTGTCTTAATCTTTGATGGCTGACAACAGAACACTTTCAGAACGAGCGAAATAAAAGTTTTTTTGCAATACTTTCTGGGCTATTGCTATTGTATCAGGATGATTAAGACTACAAATACATTTCATAATCATGAAAAAGCGCCGTGCTGCTTCAACGCATTTTTAATTTTTCTTGATTAAAAACCAATAGGAACTTTGATGATGTAATCAACAATATATCAGACTTGTTGTGGGTTTTACAGTCGACATGAATAACCAAAGCAGGCAATTGGCAAATGTGAGCCACCTGGCATGATTGAGATTTCCGGGAGGTGTATTTGTGAAATACTTCTTCATTTCTACATCCAAATTTTGAAATCCTTGGGTAACAGCATGCTTTAAGTAAGTTTTCTGATCTTTACTGAGATCATGAATGATGTCATCAGACATTTCAATGAGTACTCTATTTACACTGGCAAAGTTAAGTATCGGTAGAAAATAAACATCAAAAGATAGTTGTTCTCCAAGATTGCCTTTGAATACAGTAGGACCAGATGTACTCCCATCAAGTGCAGTGAAAATTGCTCTGAGAGACAGCTCATTCGAATGAAGAAAACAAATACATCATTAAAGAGGTCTGCCAATATGAGTTTTAAGTAAACAAATGGTACCATTTTTTCCAGCCTGTGCTTACATTGGTTCCATCACAAATAACACTTAGTAAACTCACATTAGAATTTCTATCATTTAAAACTGAAATGATTTCTTTTGCAACATCAACTGCTTTATCACTTTGTGGACTAATGTGATCAAAGTAGACGCTGTTGGGATATGAGCAGATAACGTAATGATCTTCTTTGATGGAAGTGGCCCTGTCAACTTTACCATCTTCTTGCTCTACTAACCTTAGGGTTTGTCTATACAGCCATCAAAACTGACTCCAATGATTTTTTCAACTAATTCTGCATGTTCTTTAACATCTTTTTGTCGTCACAGGTTTCTTTGTCTTCTTAATTTTGCTGGATCTAATATTTATTGTGGTGAATCGAATGATATATCTTTTAAGCAAGTGTTAATGATTTTGCATTCATCTCTGTTACTAACTCCTATTCATTCCATTATTTGACAGAGTTTTTAGTACTGAAATATATTGCAATATTTGAATCATGTCCACTATGTGAGCTATTTTCTGAATCAGTAGCTTTGTCATATTCCTCATCATCCTTGCAACAGCTTCTTTCTTTATCGCTTTCACAGGAAAGAGTTATTGTCGATGACAAAGATTGGCATGTTTCTGCATTTTTTTCCTAACTGAATTTCCCCTTCTTTACGAATTTTCTGCTAGGTCAATCTGGCCAGTGTACATTTTGCAATAACTCTTTTGATCAAAACTCCTATTCCTTTGACCGGTTCCTGATATCAGGGCTAACACATTTGCAAGGACAAATTTTAAATACTTTATTGAACGAACCAAGTTGTGCGTAGATGAATTTTTCTTTTCATCAACATATTTCTTAAATTGTTTTGTATTAGTAACCAATTTTTTCAAGCTTTTCAGAATGCTGTTATATAAAATTGTTGGCGACCCCGCCATCGACCATATGTTTAACAAATCATCAGCTACTATCTTATTTAGGTCTCTGATTGATGGTTCTTCAGAGTCTAAAGGTTGTGAGAAAGTCTTTTAATTTTAAAAATAAAAAGTGTTCAAAAGACACCATGCTGTCAAAATATATATGGGAATTAAAAGATAAAAATATTGATGATTTTATAATGAATTGGTCCATTCTTAAAACAGCACCTGCATGTAACATATATATATATATATATATATATATATATATATATATATATATATATATATATATATATATATATATATATATATATATATATATATATATATATATATATATATATATATGTATATATATATATATATATATATATATATATATATATATATATATATATATATATATATATATATATATATATATATATATATATATATATATATATATATATATATATATACTATTCCATGGTAGTCAAAAAGAGTTTCCCATAAACTGTAGTTTTAAAGAGCGCGTTAATAAACCAGACCAGAAAAAGTTTAAAAACTTAAATTTTTATTTTTTTTTGAATAATAGACTGCCTGCCCAAACCAAACCCTCAGTCGATGTAGCAGCACTCCCTTGCGAGTCAGGCTATTTGTCAGTCGTTGTAGCAGCACTCCCTTGCGAGTCAGGCTATTTGTCAGTCAATCTAGCAGCACTCCCTTGCGAGTCAGGCTATTTGTCAGTCGATGTAGCAGCACTCTGTTGCGAGTCAGGCTATAAGATAGTCAATGTAGAAACACTCCCTTGTAGCAGCAGGCTATAAGATAGTTGATGTAGCAACATTTACGCATGTTTTAAAAATGTTTTTTAATAAAACAAAAACAAAAACACCACTAATTAAAAAAAACTTTCTAGTCGTTATTATTGGGGTTTTTTTAAAAATTTTTAAAAAACAATAAAATTTAATGTACTTCCGCATTAATTTAATTGCTTTGACATTTCGATGACAATCAAATACAGCTTAAGAGACGAGGTAATTAAAATTGTAGTTGAAAGAGACTATTTTTACATTAAAAAGTTCTTTCGACTACATTATAAGGATATATTTATATATATATATATATATATATATATATATATATATATATATATATATATATATATATATATACACACACATATATGGTTTATATAGACTTAGATACAGCAATATAATGAAATAGGTAGCTGCAGGGGCAGTATATAGACTGACAATCTAGATAGAACATGCTAGGAAGTTCCACAACATCAGCTGAGGGTATGGGTTGGGGCAGCAATAAATTTTTTTATTATTCTTTGTTTTTTCTACTTTTCTAAAAATTTAACATGCACATTTAAAGAATTGATGTGCAGAAAATATTGTTAGGATATTGCAACCTTATATGTCACAATATCCTAATTATATATATATATATATATATATATATATATATATATATATATATATATATATATATATATATATATATATATATATATATATATATATATATATATATATATATATATATATATATATATATATATATATATATATATATATATATATATATAACTAATATTAACTTCATTTGAAAATGTAAATAAAATATTTTGTTGTTTTATAATAGACTACTTTTAAAAAAATAATATTTTTCTTCAGGATGTCACCTGAAGTTATTCTTGCTATGGATGAAGGGCAGTATGATGGCAAAGTATATTCAACATAAGTTTTTTTTTTTTTTTATATATTTGTTTTTATTTAGTTGCTAAATGAAAAGTGTATAAATTATTTGTTGAGTTTAAAAATAGAATTCTCTGATCATCATAATCTCTGTCATCAAAGTTTCTATGACATCAAAGTTTCTATGACATTAAAGTTTCTATGACATTAAAGTTTCTATGACATTAAAGTTTCTATGACATTAAAGTTTCTATGACATTAAAGTTTCTATGACATTAAAGTTTCTATGACATTAAAGTTTCTATGACATTAAAGTTGTTTAAAATAAGTATAAAATAATAATACAAAAATTATTCTGTGAGGTTGGATAATGTTGAGAAGGAACACAGCTCAGTTTAGTAAGAAAGAAAACAGCTCAATTTGTTGAGAAAGAACCCAGCTTTAGATTAAACAGAATTTTGATGTAAAAATAAATAATATTAAAAATATTAACCAGCATAATTGTTTTTATTATTATTATTATTATTATTATTATTTGCATTCTTTCTTATCTGGTCCATCATTTTTAACTTGTACACATAACTTTTAAAATGGTTGGAAGGTTCTTACCAAGGTTATACTAAAATAGTTATGTTCTAGTTTTTATTTGAGAATGTTTTTTGAAGGTCTGGTATTTTCTTGAGTATAGCTTCTGCAAACTTTACAAGTTTTCATTTAGGTTGTTGCCATGTAATCACAGAGTTGTGATTGCAGTCACAAAAATTTTCAATTGACTGCTTTACTTTAAAAAAGTTGCTTAAAAAATAATGTAAACAAATAGTTCTTGAAAATAATAACTAAATTACCATAACAATATACTAAATAATAAAACTTACCATGCAAGTTTAATAGATAATATTGAATAACTTACAATAACTTTAGCTTTTTATCTAAGTTTTATATTTTATTAAATAAAATCCAAAACTTACAAATTAAAGTATTTTAGACTTAAGTTTAAAGGTATTTAAATTTAAGTTAATTTAACTTTATAAAAAATAAAATTTTAAATAAGAAATTTAAGTTTTTGATAAATAGTTAAACTTGCACTATTAAGCTATTTTTTAATTTTAACTTTGCAGACCCATTTAATCTAATATGTATTACATAAGTTTGTTACACTAACAATATAATAATTATTACATTTTATTTAAGATAATAGTCTTATGAAAGATACTGCCTATCTATACCATTTTGGTTAATTAGTTTATTAATTGAAAAAAATTGAGAAATTGTTGCTATGTCTTACCTGTGCTATATACTATATTTAGGTTGATATATGGTCTCTTGGGATTACATGTATTGAACTAGGTAAGTAAAACAATGCTCTAATATTTTGGTGATGTTAATAAATAATAAATAGATGTTAATAAAGTTAATAAGGTGATGTTAATAAATAATAAATAGATGTTAATAAAGTTCTATAGATATTATATATATAACATATATAAAGATACTATATACTATAACAAATGAAAGTGAGAGAATTTTTAAAAAAAACTTTAAATTTCTAAAAACTTCAAAAGACCGGAAGAATCAAAAACTTCAATAGAGCGGACTGTTGTGCATATGTCATGATACCTATGTTATTAATGTGCTCAGATAGTTAGCAAAGTCTGCGTGTTTAATACAAATTAAAGAGACAAATTTTTTTCTTAGAGATTATCCACAAATTATGTCACACAATAGGTAGGAAGGGGTTTTGTATTTTTGTGACAATTTGTTTCAGGGGGGAAGGGGGCATTTAACTTTGTGATGCTATTTTTTTTTCTCTCAAGTTTCAAATCTAGAAAAACTCTTGATTAAAAGAATGCCTAGCCTAAACCATAAACCCTGAGTTGATGTACACTTGACTGCAGCTATTCCAATTTAACTTAAATTGGATTGACTTTCTAAATTGCTTAGTCTACAACTTTATCAGTCAATGATATAACTGATATATCATTGATAAAAAAATAATAATACTATATAGTTGAGTCTCGATATGTTGACTACTCGATATCTCAAACTTTTGTGTATCTTTAACTTTATTTCCGGTTCCTTGCGCACTTGTTTGAGCCAAAATCTTGTACTCTTGGTATATTTTTTCTTGATATATTTTATATCTCAAACTTTTGTTACGGTCCCCTGAGAGTTCGAGATATCAAGAGTCAACTGTAGTTATTAAATAAAAATAATATAATAATTATTTAAACAAAAATAACAGTTAATACGCATTAGCATAAAATATTATGTTAATATAACCTGTACTGTGACTAACTTATTGCTAAAGAAGTTATTTAAATAATTTACTTATCAAAAATTATTCTGCGATTCTTTGTCTGTTTACTCACTGTTAATTTATACATTATACTCCACTTCCCTCATACCTATTTAAGTTAATTTGATGTATATAGCTAAATTGTGACTACAGCTTTGTCAGTTCGCTTAAGTATGCATCAATTCTTCTTCTTTTTTTCTTTTTTTGTCAATTTGCCTCCCTAAGGCCAAGAAGGCTATTACATAAGAGGAGGCTACTTAATTGTGGTTATAACCCTCTCTCTTAACTCTATAACTGTGAAACATGAACCAAGCAAAAAAGGCCACTGCGCTGTGATACAAGTTAAGCGCTGTACTACCAGGGTCGTGCTAGTACCACTTGCTTATGAAACGAGCGCTCTACCACTACACCACTACTGGGTTTTAATTTATTCTAAATTGTTACTTTAAAAAATATAAATAATAAATATAGTTATAATTAAACAACAATATTAGTTAAAACATATCAAACTACTTTAAAATAAAACTTCAAAGTATAAAGTTTTGATCACTTAAGAGGGAGATGAACCAGCACCCTTGTTCACTGTGCCTCATAATATGCAAGTTTGCTCATCCACGGTTCTACTCAATTACAACGGTATAATAAAAAAATCAAAGAATTGAAAAATATTTTGCTTAAAAAACTTGAAAAGAAAAATATTTTGCTACAAATAATGACTTTTGAAATAATATTTAATAATAATTATTATTAAAGGTAAGAAAATTAAAAATAATATTGTATTTAAAGCCACAAAAAAAAAAGTTGTTGGAGAGAGGGGGTTATGAATTTGTTGTATAATTTTAGGGGGAGGGGGGAAGTTAAGCATTACATTTTAAGTTAAGCAATTCATTTTAAGGGGTTGGGGGTGGGGCAGGGGGAAAGAGTCCAAAATAGTTAAAAATTGCATGACATAATTTATGAACGACCTCTTAAAGCAAAAAAAAATTTTACATTCAAACTTTTATTTTCTTCAAAACATTCAAACTTTTATTTTCTTCAAAGTGAGTGTTCAAAAAAATTATGGTCTGAAAAAGGTACTGCTGTGGAGGCAAAAAAAAAAAAAAAGAAAAAGCCTGTAACTAGCAAAAACTTTAAAATTTTATTTTAACAAATAAAACTCTTTTTTGCTATATTTATTTTTTGGGGGACGACTAAATAAGTGCGAATTTCATAAGTGCAAACTGGCATAAGTGCAAATGACCTAAGTGCGAACTGGTATAAGTGCAAAGCAGTTACAAAAACTGGCACAAGTGAGAACTGGCATTAGTGCGCCAAAAGAATTTGCAAACATTGGTATAAGTGCGAACTGGCATAAGTGCAAACTGGCATAAGTGTGAAGTAGTTACAGAAACTGGCATAAGTGTGAATTGGCATAAGTGCGTAGAATAAATTTACAAACACTGGCATAAGTGCGAATTGGCATATATGCGAAATACCAATTTGCACTTATGCCAATATTTGCAAATTTATTCGGCGCACTTATGCCAATATTTGTAAATTTGTTCGGCGCACTTATGCCAGTTTGCACTTGTGCTGGTTTTTGTAACTGCTTCGCATTTATGCCAGTTCGTACTTATGTCAATTCGCACTTATGCCAATGTTTTCAAATTCTTTTGGCGCATTTATGCCAGTTTGCACTTAGACCAGTTTTTGCAACTGCTTTGCACTTATGCCAGTACGTACTTATGCCAATTCGCACTTATGCCAATGTTTGCAAAATCTTTTGGCGCACTTATACCAATTCGTACATATGTCTATTCGCACTTATGCCAACTTATGCAATTCTTGGCACTTACGCCAGTTTGCACTTATGCCAATTCGTGCTTATTCAGCCTCTCAATTTTTTTTGCTATAAATATATACAGCCAGATTAAAAAAATTTTAATATATTGTAAAAAGAAGTGGATTTGAACCATAGCAAAACAACACCATTGACAGTATACTAAACCACTGTGCTATCAAATTTATGCGTATAATAGAAGAAAAAAAATTATTTTATAAATCTCTTATACTGATTGCAATTAATCAACACTTTTTAAGTTCTCTAAACAAGTGCAGCTCTATTGCATAGCAATAAAGTTACATTTATATATATATATATATATATATATATATATATATATATATATATATATATATATATATATATATATATATATATATATATATATATATATATATATATATATATATATATATATATAGATAGATAGATAGATAGATAGATAGATAGATAGATAGATAGATAGATAGATAGTATATATAAACAAATATTTTATATGTAAATGTAAAAAGTTCACTTATATAATGTTATATAAAGTTTTTTTTATGTTATTTTGAAATAAAAAAATTTTTATTTCATTTTGAAATAAAGATTTTTTTGAAATTTTAAAATAAAGATTTTTTATTTCATTTTGAAAAACAGATCAAATTAACTTATTTGAGATTTCTAGCCCCACATCATCTGTTTTATGGGTCCTCATTTGCTTTGCAAATAAATATAGTCTTAATAAGAAGGTTAAAATTTTATTATAATCTTAATTTTCAAAAAATACTGGGTGAAATGCTTTACAATTGTCATCTATGTTAGAAATTATTTGTTGAGTGTTTATGTATTTAGTTAGGTAAATTTGGTAAAAAGTATAGAAAAAGTCTGTGTGTAATAGACTTACAAAGAACAGTATTTTCACGGATCCATTCAGCCACTAAAAATTTTTACCATAAAAATAACAATTATAATAGTATTAACAATAACAAGAACAGTAATAATATCAATATTTATAATACTGAGAGTTCAAAGTAAAATGGTAATATAAAGAACAATATTAATTAAAAAAAAAAAAATTAAAAAAGTGCAAGTTTTTTTTTTTTTATTTGCATTCACTCCCAACAAGGCTGCAAGCAACCACTATTAAGTTGGGAGTTACTAGGAAAAAAAAGAACAGAGTTATAGAGCAAGGAAACGGTTGACAGAAGACTTGAAAAGTTGAAGGTTGTATAAGTCAGAAAAACATGAAGATGGTAGAGAGTTCCAAAGGATTGAAGTGCGGGGAAAAAAACTAGATGAATAAAAGTTTTTAGAGCATGCAGGGACAGATACAGTAAACGAATGAGACTTAGCTGAATGACGAGTAAAACGAGAATGAATTTTAGTTGATGGAACTAGAGATAATAACTCCTTTGAGCAGTGACCATGATAGTATTTGTAGAAAAGAGAAAGAGATGCAACTTTACGACGATGGGAAAGAAGCTCAAGCTTAGAGCACAGCCTCCTAATCAATGAGCTATGCAGTTGTCTCAGTCCTGTTAATTAGGGCTCCTTATGTGGCCTTGACAATGCACACCAAAAGCATTAACAGGGACACCATCCATGCGCAACATGGCACTGTTAATACTCTGATATTTTGCAGCTGTAGATGGAATCAGCCTCTCTGAGAGCTACCACAGAGTTCAGGAAACCTTTCTACCAGCCGGCCTCAGAACCATTAAACTGAGTTTTAGAGCTGTACCCTCATATGGAGATTACAGGAAGAGTTGCATAGCCATTATCAAGGAGATATAAGCAAAATTCTATGAGTAGAGTCAAGGAGATCCAGCATTCATCCTAGGCAGGAAACAATGTAACACAGGTTACATCTACGCCAGCCTAATAGATGAAGAAGGGGTTCGAGGCTGGTTAGCAGAATTTTTCTGCTTACCCCTAAAGTCTTTGCCTAGGAGGCCTTCTACAAGACAGTAGCTGGATGCAGTTAACATCTGCCCAAGATGAGTGTTTTTATCGAGACACCATCTCTAGCCTTTACTCAACCAAGAGCCCCAAGGCAGGGGATGTTTAGCTGGATGCAGTTAACATCTGCCCAAGATGAGTGTTTTTATCGAGACACCATCTCTAGCCTTTATTTAACCAAGAGCCCCAAGGCAGGGGAATTTTTAGTCGGAGTTTGTTTCTCCTAGCCTTTGCCTAAGAAGAGCACACTCTGCAAGGCAGCAGGGCTTGTGGAAGGTGGTACTTGGTTACCTAATACCAGTAGCAAGATTGATCTTGATTATCCTGACCTGACCTGGAGTAGTTAAAAGGAGTTACTTCCCGCAACAGTACTTTGAGAAAACCAGGCATGACATTTTGGAAGTGCATAAGGAAAAACACTGCATCTAACAAAATACAGGAGTCTAAGGTGAGTGTAGGTTTTGTAGTTGGAGTAAGTAACTAGTTACTGAACTCACGCTGCATCAGAGAATAAACAGAACACAAATAAACATAACTCAAATTACGGGTGAATCAACACCGCGCCAGAAGTTCAGACAGAACACAAACATACATAAAAAACATAAGTATTATTAACAAACCAACACTGAAGCGAGTACAAAGTAATAATGGATAATAGATAGTAAGCAGTAAAGGACTGTAGAAATTAGGAAGAACTTATATAATATATAAAAAAACTTTCTTATTTAATAAACAATTAAATAGACTGTTTTTGAATTGGGAAAATGTTGAGAAAGAATTAGAGACAATAGTTGTATTAATAAAAGTTGTGTTAAATATATTTTTTAAATTTTTAAATGATAATATAATATTGATATATTTTTTAATTTTCTGCATTCATTTGTGTTTCTGCTTTGTAATTATTTCAGCTGAACGCCAACCTCCATTGTTTAAAATGAACGCAATGAGTGCATTATATCATATTGCTCAAAATGATCCTCCTCAGCTCACTTCTGGTCAATGGTAATTTTTTTTTTTTTTTTTTTTTTTTCTTGTTATTCACCTCCTCAAGGCCGAGAAGGCCACTACAGACGAGGAGGCTACTTAATAGTGGTTATAACCCTCTCTCAACTCTATAACTCTGAAACACGAACCTTGACAAACAAGGCCGCTGCACGGAGAAACAAGTTGAGCGCGGTACTACCAGGGACGTGGTGGGGATCGAACTCGGAACCTCTTGCTTATGAAGCCAGTGTTTTACCACTACACCACTACTGCATTTATTTATACCACTACACACTACCGCAATTTATAATTACTTAAATTTGACATTTTATTTACATTATTTAATGTTTTATATTTTATGTTCAAAGTTAAGTTGAAATCCCCCTCAATCCTTAAGAGAGCATGCATTAATTTTTTAAGCAATTTCCTTCTAAATGGGTGTTTTCTTTTAATTGCAAGCATATTATCTTCCATTTAGTTTTATATATGTTGAAGGATAAACTATTAAATTATAACTAGTTTTTACTTTAAAATTAAAGAGTTATCATCTCACATAGTTGCCATTTTCAAATGTATCTCATATAGGCATGGAATTAAAATTTTTAAAAACATTTATTAACATCTGAATGTGTTTTTTAAAAACCGTTACTCTCGAGTGCCAAATACAACGGGGGGTGGGAATAAACGGGTGGGTGGGAATTTTAGTCAAAATTTAATAAACGGGGGGGGGGGGGGTTAATAAACGGGGGAGTGGGGAAATGAGAGATTTTATCTGAAATTTAATAAACGGGGGATGGGGGGTGGTATTTATAGTAAGAGGAGGATTTTATCTACAAAATAAATGTGCGGGTTTTTTTGTTTAAAAAAAAGGAACATCTTCTAGTTTTAGTAAACAGAGAGAGAATGTAATCCCCGTACCCCTTCTTACAACGTAGTAACATACAAAAATAGTTTACCAAAAGAAAATGTACAACTTTAAAAAGGTTTAGTTATCAATATTTATTAACTTTAAATAAAATATATAAAAATGATCTTTTTATTTAAATAGATCCTCAAAAGCGTTCCTGATTGAATCATTTTCATCGCGGTGTTCCACTTCATTTTCTAACTGTTCGTTGTCAAAGGCTTCAAAGTTGTTTTCAAAACGACTTTTTATGGCACGGCGAGATGTTATATAGCTCTGTTTCAATCTTGTAAGATGTGGAATAAATTGGGTAGATGTTTCTGCATTACATAAAAGTTTTCCTAATTCATCAATGAAAACAGCATCTTTTCTTAGATCATCATTGCCTTGACATAAGTCACCTAATAAAATGTTGGATGAACTATCGGTATTTAAATTAGCTCGATTGTTTTCATCTTGATTTTCTAAAGCACTTATTTCCAAATTTGTATCGTTTTCCTCGTTTGTCTGATGCTCTTCATCAAGTTGATTTATAAATAATGTTTCACCTTCACAATCAAATAATTCATATCCTTCATCTAGCAGCTCTGTTTCACAAGTGTTTTGTCCTTGCTTTTATTTCACTCTTTTTGGAGGTGTAGTTAGCCCCTTTCAAGTTTCTTGGGCTTGGGGTAAGCGTAAGTTTTTTCCGAAATGCTTGAAGCTTTTCTACCACTAAGGCAAATATTCTTTCCGAAACTAGATAATCCTTGCTTCCGTCTAAAACATTGGTTACCCACAGTGCCCTAAATCGACTAGTAACATCAATCTCCAACGAATTCCAACTTTTTAGTAGCATTTGCATCATGTGATCCCTGGATGGCTGTGAAATTTTTTTGGGGTCAAGCCTTAATTGCTCTATCATAAGGTTTTGCTCCAACTCTCGGTATTTAGCTTTTAAAGGCCTGTGGAAATCTGTATCGTTAATTTGAACGTCCCCTGTAACACCACTACCTATTCCAACGTAAATATAGCCTTTCTTTAGTAAGGCAGCTTTGATTTCTGGCATTATATGAACACTATAATCATCTAGAATATAAATCCCGTAATTTTGATGTGTGAAAATATTGCGCCTGTTTGGTAAATTAGCTATTGTACTCAGCATATGTTCCAATCGATAGGAACCTTTAGGTGCCCATTGAAACTTCACATCTTGAGGAGGATTAAGTTTAACCCTAACACCTTTGCCTTTAAACACAAATTCTGGTTTAATTGAGACTTTAGGGTCACTGCAAACTTGAGTGTAAACAGTAATTCGTTCTCTTGAAAAGAGAATAATTTTCTTTGACGTATGTGTCCAAACCAGTAAAGTTCAAGGTCTTTTGGGTAGAACTTTCATTTCGGTGGAGTGGCATTTGGTCACCATTCAGCACAGGTGGATCAACTTCAAAATTTTCAATAGTATTTACGTACAGTCCTAATGTTTTTCAGATACTCAAATATTTTTTCTTCACAGTCAGCCTGCATTATTTGAAAGCGTTTGTTAGGATGGCGCAGACTGACACCATGCTCACTCATCCAGTTATTTAACCAACGGTTTGAGAAAACAATTTTCTTGTTCTCTGGCACCTCTTATAGTTGTTGGGCAAGCCACTGTTCATAAAAAAGTTTGCATTGTGCTGTAAACATTTTCCTGGGTAAACGTGCTTTAAGGGTTCCACGGATGTCTACAAACCACTCAAATAAAAGTTGTCTGACGTCTGGGATGGTTAATTTTCGTCCTCCTCCTTCTTGACGATACCTTGATTTGCTTGGAGGAGCAGTTACAGCATCTTCATCTGCCTCAACTTGGTTTAGACATCTTTTCCCAAGTTTTAGGGCTTTTGTTAAGGTTGGATTATCATGCTTAATGTCTTTAAGGTCCGAATAAAACTCTCTTACAGCTCTTGCGAGATATCCTTCGCGTGGCAATGTTTTAACGTGTTTCTTTCTTTTTTTACTAAAGTTGACTTTTTGAAAGTTTTCAGCAATCGATAAATCGTACTCTTTTTTGTAACTTTTACAAAGTTTACCTAAAGCATTTTTTTCTTCCAAACTGTATTTATCTCGGTCAGTTCTTGAAAATTTCCGATCTGACGCCATGTTACAATATAAATATTTTTGTAAAAACTTTTAATTTATAAATCCAAACCAATATTTTTTACAAAGCATGCATAAAACTATTTATGCATGTTCAAGTCAAATGCGCATTTGACTTGCGGTCAAAAGCGCATTTTCTAACAGCTGTTAGGGTAGGGTTAGGCTGTTTTATCATAATTTCAATAGGATTTAATATGCTGATATAAGTTTTATACTTTGCAAAGTATAAAACTTATATTCAGCATATTAAATCCTATAATTAAAACCAAAGCTTTGTTGAGAAATAAACTAAAAGTTCATTTTTAGCAAATCGAGATTTAATAGGTCGACAATTTGTAAAACCTGTTTACACTGAAAGTTTTTGTTTTTATCGGTGACTGAAAATTATTTTTAAATTTTTAAGGCCGATTTTCACTGCATTTTTTTTTTACTTTTGAGATATATAATTTTTTTGTTGATAACAAGTAAAAATTAATAAACGGGGGGGGGGGGGGTCTTAATAAGCTTAGGGTGGGTGGGAAAAATATCTAAAAATTGATAAAGGGGGGGGGGACGTTTATTAGGAACTCGAGAGTAGCAATATCTGAGAAAGTTAATGCAATTTAAATATTTTTAATAATATCCGAATATCAGAAATTGTAAATTTTTGATTTTTGAATATTGTTGAAAATACTAAACTTACTTAAAATACTTAAAATACTGAATTCAAGTTCGATTAAGTAAAATTTTGATAAAAATTTAAAAATAGTCTCACTTATCACAATTACTAAACTTAGTCTCACTTACCACAGTTACTAAACTTAGTCTCACTAACCACAGTTACTAAACTTGTCTTACTAACTTCAATTACTAAACTTAGTCTAACTAGCATCAGTAACATAACTAAGTCTCACTAACTCAGTTACTAAACTTAGTCTTACTAATCTTGGTTTAGTAGTTAAGTTTATTAGTTCAGATCATATTAAAACATATTTTTTATTTAGTATTCAAATATATTTTGAATTAAAGAGAAATTTAAGGGAAAAATACCTAAAAGCTTTTCTTTAAATTTTTTCTCTCTTTAGATTCATTATATTCTAATCAACTCTTTAGAAACATAATATAAACAAATCTTTTTTAAGTTAAGAATATTGAATTGGTTATTCATTCTTAACTTTTAAAGATGTCTTGAGCAATATATAGTTGAACCATTCTTTAATTCTTTGCAATACTCTGCAGTTATCTAATCTAGCCATTTAGGCTCTGTATATTACCAATCCAGTAATTTTTTCAATTAAAATTCCTTTGTTAGTTAGCTCTGTTAACTAGTTTTTGTGCTGTTTTTTACATCTAAACATTGCGATGCCAACAATGTTATTGTTTAATTGGTAAATTGCAGCCGATGATTTTTAAAATAAAGATTGGTCTTATTATTAGTTGGTATTAAAGTTAATATACCAAATTTAGTTGCTGAACATAATCCATACTCTTTCTAGAAAGGCAAGCTTGAGAAGATTATTTGCTAAGTAGTATCATGCTTTTGAGTCCGATTGTTAATAAACATATTTATATGCTTGATGACAGTATGAAATTTAGGCATAATTGAAATTTTGCTAGTTTTGTATCTCTCAAAAGATCTTTAAGCTTGATTATTAAATATTCAAATTGTTTGTTTAATTTTAAGAATTCATGATTAACAAAATATCAACAAAATAAATATCAGAAATTACTTTGGTTTCCTTAGATTTATGAAAGTTTAACTTTATTAATTTATCAAGAACATATTGATAAACTTTTCTTCTTATATTTTTAAAACTTTATTTTAAGTTTTTATAATCATTTGAACTAAGAAATTGTGCAGCATAAAAATCACATTCAATTATTTAATTACTATTTTTTTCTATTAATTTTTAATTATTAATTACTATTATTTAATTTAATTATTGGATTTGTGCTGGAGCTTTAAAATATTTTTTTAAATATGTAATAACTTAAAAGCTTTTGATTACAGGGCATTTTAACTTCCATTACCTAAAAACGATAATGAAAGAAGCTATACATCATTATATAAAGGATACTGTATCCAAAGTTATCAAAAAACACAAAAATAAAATGACTTTTCTTTTTGTATTTTTTTGAAAGTCACAAAACTTATTATTTCAAAAAGCATAATAATTTTAACTTCTCTAAATGTATTTAAAAAAAGTTTTTTTAAGTTACTATAATAAAATCTATTTATCATCTGAATGGAACCTTTGTTAACTTTTGATAAAATAAACTAAAATCTTTAATAAAATTAAACTTTCAATAAAACTAAGACAATAACAACTGAAAAGGATATAAATGCAACCAAAAAATAACAACTTAAAAATCTTCTGATGTGATTTCAATATATATGGTCGTGCTGAATCTTTATGTAAAATGTTGTCTAATTAACAATAAATTTTGTAAATGAAATTTTTTTAGTATAAATAACATCAATATTGGTCTCTATAAAATGTTATTTTTAAAATAATAAAATATTTTTAACATTTGTTTTAAATCAGTTATCATCAATATGTTTTGTTGATGTTACCATATTACCAAAACTTTATAAATATTTTATATACAGAAAATTAAAAATGTAAAATGTATCATGAAAAGATTTGTTTGTGTAGGGTAACTGTGAATCTGGCTAAGTTGTAAAGTTGCAAATGTTGTAAGTGCAAACTAGCATAAGTGCAAACTGTTAATAAGTGCGAATATTCATAAGTACAAACCAGTTGCAAAAAGTCTGAATTTGCACAAGCACGAAGTGGTATAAATGCATGGGTTGAGTTTGCAAAATTGATGGATGTCAAACCATCCTTCCAGCTTATATTATAATAGAGTTGCACTATTTCATAGCAGTTATATTCATTGTTTTTTAACTGATTATAATAAAATAATTGCATTGTTTACATAATAAAAGAACTCTGTTGTATTTTATGTAATGAAAAAGTTTATTCTAAATAATCTTTTAGTGTAATAAATTCAGAAAACAAATAATGTAGTAAAAAAATTTACATGAAATTATTTATATAATCAAGAAATATGCCATTTTTTATATAATCAATAAGTTTTTTACAGTTTGGTTTTGAATATATGTTTTTTGGCATTGGTTTTTGCACTTTTTTGGCATTTGTTATATATAATTTCACTAAACATCTTTTTAATAATCTTAGGTCAGAAGATTTTCGAAGTTTCGTTGTCAAATGCTTAGCTAAACTTCCGTCAGATCGTCCTTCAGCAGAAAGTCTACTTAATGTAACTATAATTTTGTGTTGTTTTTGTTTTTAGAGAAGCATAATGTATAACTATTGAGTTGCATAATATTTATAAAGTTAAAAATAAGTAACTTCTCAGCATTTGTTGCTTAATGTTTTTCGTAGTATCATAACTTTCTCATATTTTAATGTGTCTCATATTGTCACATTTCTCTTATATTTTTGTGTTTCTCATTTTCACTATAACTCTCTTATACTTTAATGTTTCTCATAGTATCACAACTCTCTTATATTTTAATTCTTTTAGTTTTTATAATAAAGCATAGCTTTTAATTTTACTCATTTTTTATGTTTATGTAGCATACATACAGCTTTCATAGTAGCTTACTGTAACCATTGTATGTACATAAATCATATAACATGCAACAGCTTCTAGCAGCTAATATTTGGTTACAAATGCTAACATTTGGTCAACAAATGCTAATGTTTTTATGAAAAAAAAAGTTTCATCATGTTTAAAATGATTTATAATAAAATTATCCTGGTCAGACGAGTATAAGTTTGGTTTTTTGTCTGTTCTAAGGTACTTTTCGAATCAAGTATCACAGAGAAATGCTTGTCTTTTAAGTTTGTTTATTTTCGAACCACAAGTATCACAGAGAAATGCTTGTCTTTTAAGTTTGTTTATTTTCGAACCACATTTATTACAGAGAAATGCTTGTCTTTTAAGTTTGTTTATTTTTAATTAAAGTAGTAACAAGCTTTTATTTTCATTTCTTTTTTTTTTTTTTTTTTTTTTTTTTTTTGGCATATAATAAGACAGTATTTTTATCCTATATTTGTATTACCTTGATGAACATCTGTTTTATACAAATAATATTCAATGCATAATAGTTGTGAGAGTGTTATGAAAGAACTTTGCTATTTTTGTTGCAGTAAATTTGTTGTTTTTTTGTGCAAAATTTTTGCAATCTTGTGAATTTAAGTTAATTCATTCATTTATATACTGTTATAAATTGGGTATTGATACAAAAAACAATAATTTTGGAAAATTGATTTAAATTTTTAGGTGTAAAAAAAAAAAAAATAATTTGGTGACATGCTTATAATCAACAATTTTCTTGGATAGCTACTAAACCAAGTCCATCTGCAGTCATACTGGTTCCCAACCAATTTTTAAAGAAAAGCTGCGCTATCATTCTGCAGATATTATGGGTAGCGTGAATCCGATCTTTAGGAGCTCAAAGAGATTAGGATATTGTTTTTTATTTCAGATTTTAAGGCTTAAACCAGAATATTAGTCCTATCTTTAGATTTAACCATCCTTTTTTTTTCAAAAACTCTTGATTTACAGCTTCTGTGTTTGATCATACATTTTGACTAACTTTTAGAAAGCAGTTATCTCACCACAGCAAAATTCCTAGTAACAGCAATTTTTATTAGATTTGTACTTCTATTTCGGAAATGGTGTAAAATAAAGATATAATGAAGGCCTGTTAAAATATCCTTATGTTTTCTACTTACAACTACATTATTTTTGTGCACCTTTCTAAGGCTCGAAAAGAAATTAACAACATATATTTTCAACAATTATTTACATTGAATGCAAATCAGATCAGTATTTTGGAACAGAGAGAATATTTATATCTTGTTTTGCGACTTCTTTTATTTAAAATATTTGATCACCGCTAAATTCCTTTAGACTGTAGTGATTTGCGGTTGTTTTTTTAATATTACATTATACTGTATGCTTTATTTTCCTAGTTTTATCTGATAATTTATCATATGAATTAAAATATTAAAGTATCAATATTATTTTTAATAATTGTAAGAAATTAAATATAAAAGTTAATATTATTTCTAATAATTATAAAAATAATAGTAATAATATGGTTTTATAATGAGATTTTATATCATAGTTTCAAGATCATTTTAAATATTTTTTTATTGACTAACAACTATTGAGTTTAGTGATAAAAACAGAGTTTATGGTTTTTAAAAAACTAAAAATTTAAAGACACGAAGCATTTCCTGATATCGTTATTTGCAATCACTTAATTTGAGCCTTGCTGCCTTTTTGTGATTTTGGGAATGATTGGACCACAATTTATTTGCCGTATGGTTTAAATTATTAATTGTTACTTAAATATTATAGTATGCATACATAATGTCAGTTGTGCACTCTTGCAATCTCTGATATAAAATAATGAGTGAAGTAAGTGGTACAAAGTTATAACACTAATAATAAATTCAAATTTAATGAGTACATAAAAAAATGAGCTGGTCTCTTTCCTCTACATTAGCTACATTAAACTAAAAAGCACTAAACTGCTCTATATTAGTGTATTCCTAATATAATCTCTAATGTCCCTGATAATTTTAACTTAATATTATGGCATTAGTATTAACATGAGACTATCGTATGGTACCATATTACAAAGTATATGATTTATAAAACTTGATTTTGAGCTAATTTAATGATAAAATGGTCAATTACTCATTAGTAAAGTTAAGCATCAAGCACCACTTATTTTCACGACTAGCTAGTTTCATGGGTAATTAAAAATAAATGGATTTTTAGCAACAGCTTGCAGCTAGCATTGGTGGCTTGTCGGTCTATGCAAATCCTTGCTTGATTAGTGTTTGCTTGTTTACACTAAGAAAATTTTACTCTGAATTAAATTACTTTCTTGCATTTGGGCTCTTGGTTAAGTAAAAACTTAGATCTCCTAGAGAGGCAAAGACTTTAAGGATAAGCAGAAAATTTCTGTTGACCAGCCTTGTATCCCTTCTTCATCAAATAGTATTAAATAGTATAGTTAGTAGGCTGGTGTTAATATGTTTCCTGTCTAGAATAGCGAATGCTGGATTTTCTAGACTACTAATTGGTTTTTACTTAAAGATCTTCGGTAGTAACTATGCAACTCTTTCTGTTATCTCCTAATGAAGGTACAAGACTCCATTAACAGCTGTAAAATATGTTGAGTATTAACAATGTTATATTGTGCAAGAATGATATTCTGAAATCTGCCAGGTCTGCTTGCTTTTATAAATTTAATATAAATATAGCTGTTCCATTTTAAGATCTCAATTTTGAAGGCTTTTCTTTTGAATAACATTACTATTATTAACAAAGACTCTAGAAGCCACATGCTAGGTCTAGACATGCTTTCATTTAACACCACTTTTTTTGTTTGTTTTTTATTGTTCTTCTTCCTAAAAAGAATAATAATAATCAATTTACAGAATAATAAAGAAAAAAATTTGAAAAAATTACTCCAGAAGCAGCCTTTGTTTGAGTTAGTATTATATATCTGTACCTCGGAGGGATACAACACTATGTCCATTTTCACAACTTTACAGGAGAGGAGTTTTAAACTTCTTTCAACAAAAAGTGTTATTGGCACAGCTATTTATTGAGATGTTGAAACAATATTTTACCAGAACATTCTATTTATTGTTATTTACATCATGCAGTTGTTATAAAATTTAAAAAAAAACCTTTTTTATGATTTTTTTTTCACTTTTTAATGGACATGGTGTTGTATCCCTTTAATAAAGTTATTGTACTATAAGACCTAATGTGGGATATTCAATAACAAACACAATACTATTTGACTTACAAAATGTATTTAACTATTTTATTTATAATTCTCTTTACAAATACAAATAATACATCTATGTATTCAACTAAAATGGTATTTTAGATGCAAAAAACTCAGTCATCATCAGGTAAGTCTCCTTCAGGGTACTCACTAGTGGTATTACTAGTATGCTTTAAGTTTTTATAAAAGTCAGGGCAAACTGTAGGAACATATGGTAGTAATGCCAATAGATCATTATACTTTTGTTGTGATATTGGTATTGGACTTGGTGTTACCAGTTGCAAATCGTTTGGCAATGTAAGGTGTCGCCTTCGAAACCTAACAAGGTCAATCTCCTGGTTTTCATCAGCGAAATTACTTTTCAAAAACAGAGTTCCCATGCTGTTCTGTTTTACTTGCAGTTGAACACAGGTTGACAGAAGAACTTGTTCTTTGTTGACATCTTTTTTTCTATTAATAAAGGGTGGATTTTCACATGTTTTGACATCGTACAAAGACTTAAAATTTTTAAAATCTTCCAGTTCCATATTATGCACAGTATATTTCATTGAGGTCTGTCTGACTAACTGCTGCCAATCCCAGGACGTTAGAATTGTCATGTTGTTAAGTTTTTTTCTCTTCCGCTCTATCAGTGCATGGACAGTATCTGCCCCCATATGCGTGTGGCCCTTTAGTAGAAACTTTTGAGTGATGATTTTTACTTGAGGATACTTATTGAGTATCCAAAAGAAACACATAATAAGGCTAATATTCTTATTCTGGCCGTAACAATTATCTGACCACAGAATGATTTCTTCAATGTCACTGCCAGGAATGACGGTATCTGCCCATTTCTGTAATGCAGATCCGATTTCATTTCTGCCACGAGCTCCTTTGGATTCGTCCCACATAATGCAATGGACTGACAAATCAGAACAACCAAAAAGGGTGTAATTCAACGTCCAAAGTTTTCTCTTGTAAAAGCTTATGCAATTTGTTATAAGGGGTGACAGCAAACATTTTTTGAAGATCACCCGTTAATACCTTAAGGGTATTGTTAGCCCTTTTGGTGTCCTCGCTTTTTAAATCATACCTTAATTTAGATTCATCCAGATGTGCATTATGGTCTTCCTCAATAGAATTTTTTTCATCTACAGTCAAATTATTATTTTTTAATTTTGCTTGAAAATAATCACATGTGTCACACGTGTCTATTTCTGGTGGTTTGAAATTCAACTTAAATTTTTTGTAGAACACATCGTAGTAGAGCCATTTTTTAGCTATTAACAAAGGGTTGAAATCATTTTCATTACAATCCTCTACATACAGTTCATACATTTTCTCTATGTTCAGGTGCGGACCCAAATACTCCATATCACCCTTTTCCCTAGTGTAATGACTGCTATAATTTGGGAAGGAAGAGATGTGTCTTACTACACTTTCAACAGTGTCATTATGTGTTTTATTGACGGGAGTTTGCTTACCCCTTTGATCGATTTTTACAATTCCACCTGGTTCAATATTTTTCAAAAAATTAACTACCACGGTGTTTGATATAGATAGTGTATTTAAAAACATAAGTTTACATACTCTAGTTTGTATGCCTTTTACTGTAAAATAATATTGTAGAGTATTTTGTTTTGACTTATTGGAGGCAAGGTCTCGTTTTCTTGAACGGACAGTACTATGCTTCGCTACACATGAAACAATGAATTGCCGTTTTATGTCATTTCCCTTCTCCTGACTCCAGTATGCATTAAAGGTCTCCTGTCTGTCACTTAGTAATAATTTTTCAAAACATTTCAGTCTGCAAGAACAAGGAGGTTTAATAATTCTGACAGGAACAACTTTACCCTTTTTACTAATACAGCCTTCCAATCATCTGCTTACCAGCCATTGTGTTTCTGACAAAAGGCCATATGAGCTCTAATAGTTTTTGGAGAAAGACAAAGTTTTTTTTACTTGAACATGGCTCTTTGAATAAAATTGTTCGTACAAATCACTTCTAATTCACAACACTTGGTGAAAACCAGTGAGTGTACTTATAGATGAAATTTCAGAAGCACTGAAAAACAAATGCGCTTTTGCATTAAGATGAATGGCGGTTATCTGCCTTTTGAATACTTATCTTTAGTCATATAGTTTGAGTTTTGCTTTTTAAATCACCGGTACGTAATATTGTTTCAATGTTTTTGTGATGTAGATATGTGTTACATTAAAATGTACAGTGTTAGTAGTTAGTGTCAATCCTTTTTCTTGCAAAATACCAATCTGAGCATTTTTCTGTTGTTAATTCATTAGTTTTTCCCATAATTAATAATTTAATTTTTTGCTAAAATAAAAACAAACTATTGCTAAAACAAGTTTAGTGGTTTAAGAAATAAAATATCTATGTATATAATTTTAATACTCAAAATTTTGACTGTAAAAATAATTTTTTAGACAAATTTTTTGCAAATTTTAAAAATGTTCAAAAATTTTTATGACAATATATATATATATATATATATATATATATATATATATATATTATATATATATATATATATATATATATATTGTTTTACTGTAATTAAAGATTAATTTAACCAGGTTAGTAAATGTAGGGACTATAACAGAAAAAAGTGATAGCAGAAATAAAAGTGTAGAGTTTACCTATTTAAAAAGTACTAATATGGTAGTGGTGCGATAATACACCATGCTGTAAGTGTAAGATAAATTGTTAAAACCCATCACTTCCCTCAATCATGCTCAACTTCTTTCTCAATATAAGAATCAATATAAAAAGCATGGTCAAGATAAATAGAATTTGTTTTAGTTACTATAAATAAGAAATAATTGTAACCTTAAAAGGAAAAAAAAAATTTTTTTTACATTAATTTTTTCTCATCTCAATTTGGTAATCATTTTTGTGTAGGAACCCTTTATATGTCGTCAAAGACCCAGAAATATATTGTTAAACCTAATAGAAAGAACAAAGAGTGCAGTTGCAACTTTAAATCAAGAAAATTATAATAGAGTTAAAATCATGATGGGTGCTGCTGAAGATGAACAATCTGAAAATAAAACACCCAAGAAAAAAGAATCTGTTCAAAATCTTTGGAATGTTCAAGATAACAAAGTAAAATATTGTTTTATAATATGCTGTGTGTGTATATATATAAATATATATATATATATATATATATAT